TGACTTTTAGAGGAAGGAAGGTGGGCGCTGGTAACTTCCAGGGAGAGTCCGGAAAGGTCCCAAGGTGCTGAAAACGTGCTCTCCCCTTTGCTCTGACTAAAACCTCGAGCCTCCTGACCACATTCCTTCCTGCTGCTTCATTCTCCCTGGGGTCCTAGACCGGGGGAGCGGGGCCTGGGGGAGCTGATCAGAATAGTTCTGTGGCGTGTCCAGCAAGGAGCTTGGCCTGGCCCTTTTCCTGGGGCCAGACCCTGGGACCCTTTCCCAATTTCCTGTCTCAGATATGCTGACCAAGCACAGGCCTTCCTCCTTGATGGGGGCAGCTGGTCCCAAGCCAACAGCTCTCAAGGGTTGAGTCACTCCACGTCTTTCCTTCCTCAGCTCTTCATCCTGCTGGGACTCAGAAGGAGCTCCCCTCTTCCAGCTGCTGAAAGCCACGGGATGGCAAATTCAAGGTGCCTTTGACAAAACCCCACAAACTCTCATCCATGGGCTTGGTTTTCCTCCTGGACCCGTGATTTCCTTTACAGTCACCTCAAGAGCTAATATTTGCTCTTTCTGAACTGACTTTTCTGTATCTGCAGGGACCTTGCCCAGCCCAGAAACTCTCTCGCACACGAAACTGCTGCGCCCCAGCTGACAGGAAGCTGCGCAACAATACCTTCTCCACTGGTGCATGCGATTCTAACATTACGGCTTCGTTCCTTCGGGATGAAATCTGTTACTATTTAAATGATACTCATGATGCTTGCTCACTTTCATTCTTTGCCTAGCACTCGTTTACAAAGCATATTCATTATTTTAGGCTTCCCAACCCTTATGTGAGATGGATGGAGCTAGTAACTCTATCTGTGTTTATATATCAGCAAAGAGAATGCAAATGACTTGCCCAAAGTCACATGCCTGCTAAGGAGGAGAGCTGGATCTTCTGGTCCCCAGTTCAGGGGGTTCTGCACATTACCATGCACCATGCTCTTGTGGTGCTGTCCCTGGAACAGGGTAAGGTAAGAATGGGCACTGCGGCCCTGTGTGAAGCAAACTCTTGGCTTTGACAACCAAGGGCAGAGCTGCCTAGCTCTGTTCTGCCCCTGGCTTCTCTGATCACTAAAAGCCCCATGGATTCTACACAGCAGGATACGGGCCTCCACGGAGGGGAGCAGCCAGATCTCCTTGCCAATCCCTCACAGCCTGCCTGCGCCCGCGGGATCTCTCTGCTAAGGCCTAATAGCCCTGGGGTCTTGCTGGGCTCCAGACTGTGCAGCTAAGAAGGGCTTATCTCCTATCTCAGACATCTGAAGAACTGAAAAATGCATGAAAGAATTAATGGGAGCCTAGAGCCAGAAGAGCCTGTCGAAGTCATCTGCCTGTGACTGCTTCAGCCCTTCACAGTGTCTCTGACCAGAGTTTGTCCAGGTCCCGCTCAAACACTCCTCATCCCAGAAAGCTCACTACTCCCCAGGCAGCCCGTGACTCCATTCAGATTTGTACTAGACTTAACTTGAGTCTTCTGCTGGAAGCCCTAGGTGCTGCCATGGGTCCCTCATTTAATCCCTACCATCTGCCATTCAGGAAACAGATTCAGAGATTATGTCATTTGCCCAAAGTCAAATGAAGAAAGATGTCATTTCCAGACTTCTCACCCTCTTATCTGTTCCACAGATCCATTTTATTCTGCCAGCATGCCCCTTAAAAGAGGTGCCCAGAAGCGGTGGCAGAACTTTCTTATGATGACTGATCAGTCAACCCAGTGACAGACCTGTTACTCCCCCTTCGGGAGACACTGATCCACCTCCACCCATATCAGATCTTTGACAGCAGCATCTCAGACTCACACCCTCTGAGCTCCCAGTCATTCTAGAAGCCCAGGGTTGTTTGGGGTTTTTTCTTATGTGACTATAAGGCCATTTCCCCAGTTCCTTTCTGTGTTTAGCTGGTCACAAGCACTGGACTTCACATTGTTACCTGTTTGAGTCAACCAGCTTCCTGAGAGAAACTCTGCTGCTCAGTATGACCACGGGTTCCTGCTGTGGGCTGGCTACAAGCCAGACTTTGGCAGTGACGCCAGAGTGGCCAGACTTCTGTGGAATTTGGCATCCCAGGAGGCTCTTGGTGACTGGAGACAGATCCCATGGTAGCCAAACCCCACAGGGAATAGGCCCTCAGCCCCTAGCCGACAGTAGGCTTGTGGGCGGAGCCAGAGTGTCTCAGCCTGGCAAGTGACAGTCCTTAGGGACTCTCCTCTCAGTCTCCCATAGCCCCTGAAAAGTCTTCAGTCCACAACCTCGTTGGAGCCGGGAACAGGAGAGGCTCCCTAGGCGCCATCTCGGGTGGCCAAGGCACATTCCCAGGCTCCAGCCCAAAGGACTGCCTTGGGAGTTCTTCCCCAAAGCTTTGGGAAGGACACTTTTGGGCTCAGTTGATCCTTGAGAGTCTCACATGTGTATTTCTGTGGTTGAGGAGAGCTGGGGCCAGCCTTCGTGGTGTAACCCCCTCTGTGAGCTCATCCTGTGAGTGGCTGGAGTTCTCCCAGTAAAAGTCATCTATGGAATTTTAGAAGTTTCTTTCTGGACCCATAGTTTCTCAGGGTTAGAAGGACCCTTCATGTTTATTAGACTAAATAAATAAATTTCATATTAAATAGATGTATCTTCTTTTCTACAATATCTTTGTCAGGTCATTCTCCAGCTGTGCATGAACACATCTACCTCCTAAGATAGCCTGTTCCGTTTTTTACAATAGTGAAAGTCTGCCTCTCTGGAGCTGTGGTTCATTGGCCCTGGTTCTACTTTTCTGCTGTGTGGTTTTCTGTAACCCTCTCTGAAATTTTCTTGGAGGGTAATGGTATAAACTCATCTTAACCAGAGTCTGGGGCGATTCATTGGTAGCCATCAGTAATACCTGAAATGATGCCCTGGGGGAGGAGGCTGGCGAGAACTTGTCTAGCTGGTGGAGACAAGCTGTATGACTTTTGCTATTCAATAATTGAGTGTCCATCTCAGGCAGGCAGAAGCTGTCACATGGATGGCATGGCAAGGTCAGGACTAGGAGGAGCAGGCCCATTTAGGACATAAACAAGAGTAAAGTCTAGCTGGGTGCAGTGGCACACGCCTGTAATCACAGTGGCTCGGGAGGCTGAGGCAGGAGGATTACAAGTTCAAAGCCAGCCTCAGCAACTTAGCAAGGCCCTAAGCAACTCAGCAAGATCCTGTCTCTAAACAAAATATTAAAAAGGGCTGGGGATGTGACTCAGTGCTTAAGTGCCCCTGGGCTCAATCCCCAGTACCAAAAGAAGAAGAAGAAGCAGAGAGAAGTTTCGAAAGTCTGATTCCAACCATGCCGAAGCAATTAGGGATGCTGATAAAAGAGTTATCTACCTCATGGAACCATTGCAAGGTATACGGGAGATAGTGCATAAAAATAGCCCCATGTTCCCAGGCATGCAGTAAGCACCCAGGAAGTGTGAGCTCTAAGTCACTTAGAGAAGCTAAGTAGCACAGCTAGGGAAGCGGTTCAGGAGGATGAGAGGTAGCCATGGAGATGCAGGACTGGAGAGAGAAGAGTTAGAAGAATTAAGAGACTTTCTCGTCTCAGAAAGAACTGAAACAGGCCTGACCATCTTGGTAAACAAAAGATGGTGAATCTTAGATGCCAGGAGGGGATAACTGCGGAGCCTTGATGGCTGGCTGGACAGAGTCATCTCCACGTGGCAAGCAGGATGCGGGTATTTCAGGATCAGGGCTCAGGCACAGTCTCACAGACCCCACGAGACTGCTTGGAAGAAAGGAAAAGCCATGCAGTGTTCTTGCTGTGACTTTCGAGTAGCTGGGGGTTACAGGGAGGATGGGCACTCTCTGCTGTCATGACCAAGGACATTTGAGATGTCTCTGCCTATTATGATCCCAAATCCTCTTGTTAGAACAGTTAGAGATAATGCTGTTGTCAACAAAGCTGTGACACTGGGAAGGGTAACACTACTTCTCCTTGGTCATAAGTCTGAAAACAGGCCCTAATAAGCGGGAGGTGAGATAGATGGCCAGAATCAAAGCCCAGGGGAAAGAGGGAACATGGAGAAATGGCGTTAATGTGGGAGTAGAGCTGGGGGCCTGTCACAAGGGGAGAGGAGCACTGAAAAGAGGAAGTGGGAGAATGGCGAAGATATACTTAGCTCGCTCCACAGCCCTGCCTCGGAAGCCCCCTGTTTGACGTCACTGTCAGCCCACTTGGCAGGCCTTAGGCTTTGAGAGTGCTTCCCCTGTACTCAAGTCAAGCTCCACGTGCTCACTGCCCTTCATCCAGATGTTAGTCTTTGATCCTGTCAGGGCATAATCAGAATCACAGCTGGAAAGAGAGGAAGCATGGGAGCAGAGCCATGTTGTTGGGCAAAGTGTCCTTTCTCCTGTGTGACAGGGGGAAGACAGCTTGGCCTTGAGCACTTTACGAGCATTAATGTCTTATCGCTTCCTTTTAGGGAAGGAGGGTTCTGGGAAAAAAATGCTGCCTCCTCCTCTCTGTGGTCCATCCCTGCCCAAAGAGTAGATAGGACCCTGATTCGGCCCCAGAACTGATCCCACCCCAGAGTCCACTCCAGCAGTGAGCCACGGCTGAGTTAGTCACCTGGCCCAGCCACCACTCCCCCTGCCCCTGGAGCCACCAACCCTGTGTCTGGAGCTGGGTGCTGAAACTCCCTGCATCTGGACACCAGGCAGGTGCCAGAGAAGAACACAGGTGATCGTGCAAGACCCAAAGCTTCTAGAAAGGAGCAAGCCTAAAGAAAAGCAAAGGAAAAAGAGGTCGAGGAGCCTCGGGCTCGGGTGTCAAGGTGGTCCCACGCACAAGGCCCAGAGGCTCGGGGTCCCTCCCAGGTGTTCCTGGAACAGCACAAACTCATGACCCATCCCACCGGGTGCTGTTGCAGCCTTGCCAAGGAGCCACATGGGTTTCTCTTTGGAATTTTGCTTGGAGTGTTTTGTTTTTATCTCTTTTGCATTTTTGTCTTCCAGAGTGGAACCCTTAAGGATCCGGATTCGAGCAAGACCCCACCTCAGCGGCCACCCCCGCAAGGTTGTTTACAGTATATTCTCGACTGTAATGGCATTGCAGTAGGGCCAAAACAAGTCCAAGCCTCTTAAAGTGATCGGTAGTTTAATTTTTCAAAAGCAGAAAATCTTAAGCCAAAAAAACAAATAAAACAAAACATTAAAAAAAAAGAAAAAGAAAGAAAGGAAAGTGAGGGAGGGGAGAACAGCCCTCCCCGCTTGGTCGGTGCCTGTTGCTGCGTTCTGTTCTCAGTGCTGACTGGACTGTGTTTTTCCTATGCAGTGTCAGCTCCTCTGTCTGGTTCTTGACCTGTTCCTGTTCGTGCTTGTGATGCTCACTTAACGTTTCTCTGTATAACTTTGTGATTCCAGGGCTGTTTGTCAACAGTGTACAAAAGAATCGTGCCTCTCCCAAGTTCAGTGGGACTCTACCTTACGGGCGGGTTTGCTAGTGTTTTTTAAAGTATTAGATGATGCCGGGTGAGCTAGGAGCATGGAGGATGGACAGGGGAGAAACAGGCCACAGGAATAAAACCCAGCTCCCCCCGTCTCCTCCCACAGGCTCAGACTAACACCCCTCCCACTGACCTCCATGAGTGTGCTTGGGATCCTCAGTGAACTGTGCTTTCGCTTCCTTTCTGCATGTCTAGGGTAAATAGAACTTTTAAGAGATTTTCAAGATCTGATTTCCATAGCTTCATCCGTTGAATTTGAAGGCATCTACCTTTTTCCTCCATTTGCTAAAATTTGGTGCCGTTTTTCAGTTTATGTGAATAGGCTGGCTTGTGCCTGTGGAGCTCTTGTGTTTTTAGTGATGAAATACAAAGAACAAGCTACTTCCAGGAATGTGTTCTGTATTTTACATCCCAGTGTACACTTCGTTTTGATGATGAACTCATGAGAGTAAACAAAAACAAAACAAAAAAAACGGGGCCGCCGATGTGCAATATCCAAGTGAACTCGTGTTTTCCGTGTGTTAATCTCAGACCCCCAAAGTCGTTCCTTCCTTGTTGCTGTTTCTGAACCAGCCATACGTGCATTTTTTTCTGGTGCCAGGGCTGTTTTGTGTTCCCCAAAGCTTGACCTACGTTCAGAGATGATTCTTCAGCAATGTTGGAGAGAGAATGCAGGGAGCTACTAAAATTATGGGAAGGGTTTGCCCATTCCTGAGGCGTGGTGATGTGACACCAAACGTAGACACCCTGCGTCACCCCAGTGGGTAGGTTACACTGCCCATGGAACTCGGAGGTTGATGCCAGCTTTAGTTCTCAGCTGCTGCTATAGCCCGCCACGGGCCTGGGAATGCAGAGCTTTCTGGAAGGAGCTGTCTCCCATGTAGCTTGTGTGTGTGTTGGACAGAGGCTTCGCAGCTGGAAGAGCCCTCCCAGTTGGTCCCCTTGCCCACAGCAGGAAGCATCTGGGCAGATGATGCGGCAGTTCATTAAACCAGGACTCGGAATCAGTGCCTCGTCTTGCCATCTCCGGGCAGGACTGGGAATGGGTACCAAGTGGCCTTCTCTAGCACCGTGGCCCTGGGGAGTTGGTGCCAGCAGTTTGCCTTTTACAAGAAATGCTTCTGGCTCTACTTTGACATTCCCTCGCACCTCTGTACCGACCTGGCCCCATTCTAGACGACCAGGTCTGAGGAGTCAGCAGGGTTGGCAGCATAGATCCTGAGGGACATGTCAAGGGGCACATGCCCTGGTACTCCTTTGGCAAAATCCGAGGCCATAGAGAAATGCACAGAGTGTGAATGTTCTTGCCTGTGATCCCTCCCTTGGATGATGGTGGTAGTCAGTCTGTTGTAAATATATACATACACGCACATGTGCACTCGCAGGTGGGTTGCTTAAGAATCAGGTCCTTAAATACCTCCCAATCTGATGAAATGGTAGACAGTAACATTTCCCAGAATGGAGGAACGCATTTATTTCTGTTTTTCGAATATTTTTGTCCAAGCAGTGAGCTGATGGTGGTGTTGCTTCTCTGCATGTTATCAGTGTGTACATCCAGGTGCTTTTCATGTGACATTCAGTGAGCCACAAATACAAAGTTGCCATTTGAATTCAGTCAGGCTACAAAGGTGGGGTCAGCCACGGCCTCTGAGGCAGGGAGAAACCGATCAGGACTCCCACTGCCAAATGCAAGCAGAGTGCATCACCTGACTGTCATGTGCCCTCAGGCAGCATGCTAAGGGACAACTCTGTGGCCTGAGGGACATCTGTGTCACAGTGTAGGATTGCCGTTCAGGTGTTTTGTACACATTTCTGATGTTGTCCCCCACTCCCCCCTTTTTTTTGTACTGATCCAGCTGGGAGACCCTCAGCCAATGCTGGAGTGTGATTGAAGTACCTCTCTCTTTTGTGACTCTCTTGTACAGCTTAATGTGCAATAAAGGAAAAGTTATATCTGTCTTCAGTGTTAAGTTGTAAAGTTTCTGGCTATTCACCTCTCTGTACAGTGGGAAAGCACGCAGGGTTCTGGAACAAGAGGCTGAGCTCTCAACCTGAATGACTTTACAAGAAAATCCTAATACAGATGATGTGAAGCTTGGGGAAACACAAGAGCTGATTGACGTGGAATAATCTTCTAATCTGTCATCCTCCATAGTTACTTGACTTGAACTGTGAACTTCTTAAACATGCAGAATTTCATGTATTTATGTATGTACCTATTTATGTGTAACTAACCCTGATATTCATTGGTTAAGATGATAAAGGGGAACCTGTGGCCTGTCCTAGGAGAGCCAACTTACAGTCATGAGGGCACAGTGGCATAGACACACGGTCCTGCCTCCCCAGAACCCGAGGTTCCGGTGTTTCTAGAAAACGAAGTACGAATACAACTCTCAGCTCCTGTTGAGTTTCTGTAAGCTCACTGTTTCCAGCCAGCCCATGGGATTGAGGCCAAAAGCTGGATCTTCCAGGCCAGTCGAGCATCATTTCCACTAGTGTCCATGTGCTTGTGGGGTCATCTTTTGACTTCTGAGTGTAGGGACCCTTCCCACTCTTCAGCCAAATCTGGGCAAACTGGTTCTACCCTTATCTCCCATCAACCCCCAGAGGAAGAAGGGCTTTTTTCCTTTCAAGGCTACTGGATGGTTGTGTGTTTCATGCTGGGAGAAAGGTATACTGGTTCTTTAAAGAGGGGCTTCTTGCAAGATGGTGCCTACAAGAATCCTCAGGGGACAATGGGGTTCAACTTTCTTCATACACTTGAAAGCCCCCGAGGATGACAATGAGAGGCAAGAGTGTCTGAGAAGAAAGGACTGATCCTAGTCGTGGGAGTTAGGGGTACAGTTTTGAAGCCCAAGTGTGGCAGTCAGACCCACACAGGCTTGGAGCTGGACCAAGGGCAGCCCAGTGATGCCAGATGCCAGTCTGTGATGACCAGTGATGACCCTAAAGCCCAATTGTTTTTGAAGAAATTTCTCATCCATTATCTTCAAAACACTATCGTCTGCTGGGCGCAGTGGTGCACGCCCATAATCCCAGTGGCACGGGAGGCTGAGACAGGAGGATCGCAAATTCAAAGCCAGCCTCGGCCTCAGAGAGGCTCTAAGTAACTCAGTGAGACCTTGTCTCTAAATAAAATATATAAAAGGGCTGGGGATGTTTCTCAGTGGTTGAGTGCCCCTGAGGTCAATCCCTGGTACCCTCCCTCCCTCCCCCCCCCAAAAAAAACAACACTATCATCTTAAAAGATTCAGGACTTATTGTTTAATGGTTTCAAGGTTGGGAAAACCAAGACCCAGAGAAGCTTGGCGATTTGCTCAGGGAGTCGCTGATAACTGTTTCTTGGGTTTTCTGAATTCCTGTCTGGTGCTCCTCCCCTCGGCCCTCTCCTGCATCTGACGTAGAGACTTTGGGAGTTCTGAGGAGTGGGATGGGGTCTGTCTGGCCTGGGACTTTCTGTAAGAGAGCTTACCTCTGTCTGGGGCCCGGTCACCCCGGCTTTCTTCCCTGTCCTCCTGATTTCTGCCGTGACTCAGTTGCCATGTCTCTGAGGAGGAGCATGCAGTGATGACATACAAGGGCAGGGACTCCCTTTGGAGCCCTCGAGAGCCTGGGGTGGCATCTCAGAGTAGAACTTATATCCCTTTGGTACGTAACCACACCCTTTGAGACATCCTTTGAAATGGTTAAATTATGAAGTTTTTCTTGTACTGAACCTAGGGGGCCCTGGGCAACCCCAAGGAACGCAGCCCCCAGGCAGAGTGCTGCCACCACGCCGGCTCCCCCCTGGATCATCACTGCCACCTTCCTCTTCCTCCTCCTCTTCCTCCTCCTCGGCTCCTCAGCGGCCTGGCGGCCCCACCGCCACCCACGGAGATGCACCCTCCAGCAGCAACTCCCTGGCAGAGGCCCAGCCACCCCCGGCCGCTCCTCCGCAGAAGCCCCAGCCTCACCCACAGCTCAAGTAAGAGACCAGCAGCAGCTCCTCTCTCCCCTTCTTCCTGCCCCTCCTCCTGGGCTCCAGAGCTGCTAGAAAGTTCCTTCAAGCAGGGCTCCTCCTACACATATTTTATCTTATTTATTTTATTTTATTTTTTTGCTGGTGTTTGTGTGTGTATTCTAGTGTTGGGGTTTTTTGTTGTTGTTGTTGTTTAGGGTGAGGGGAATGTTTGGGGTTGACTAGGGAGGGGTAGGAAGTGGGATATGACAGTCTAAGGTCTAGCTAGAAGCTCACAGCCACCCCGCTTTCTTGCTGGGGAGTGGCACTGCTCCTGCACAATTATGAAGTTTTTCTTGTACTGAACCTAGGGGGGCCCTGTGCAACCCCAAGGAACACAGCCACCAGGCAGAGTGTTGCCTAGGGTTTTGGTTATCTTTTTTTTTTTTTTAAACCCATCTCTCACTCTCTTTTCTATTCCTTTTCTCTGTGTGCATCTCTCACCTTCTAAAAATATACATATCTTTTTTCTTTTTGGTTTTACACTCTTTCCTGCCTCTGACTCACAGTCCGGGGTGTACAATCAGCAGGGCAGTCCAGAAGGAAGAGGAGAAAGTAGTTAACCCCAGTCCACTTGACCTTCAAGTCTGTCCAAAGGAGATGTGGGCAGCGGAGGAGTTCCCAGATAGAGGTCCCCAGGAGGCCCTCTTGAGTTCCCTTATTCCCAGCTCTCAACCTGGAAGACCCCTCCACAGTGTACGGTGACACAAGAAAGCACTGGGGACCCCTTGGAAATCGCCCTAAGAGGATAGGAGGGACCCACCCAGGCTTCTCAGATGCAATAAATCTATCTTTAGGGAGGGAGAAAAGGAGGCTTCAGATTTTCAGGGTTCTAGCGAGCCACTTGGAAATCACCTGGTCATCCCACAGATGAGAAAACCTTGCTTAGGGAGAGATTCAATGGATTTTCTTTTTTTCACATTTATTTTGTTCATTTGTTTTGTTCATTTGTTTTTACGTGGTGCTGAGGACCGAACCCAGGACCTCACTCATGCTAGACGAGCGCTCTACCGCTGAGCCACAATCCCAGCCCTGGGTTTCCTTTTTCAAAGCCACTCCTCTAGTTAGTGCAGAGCCAGCGTTGGGGCTCCGGGGTCCAGTTGCTCAGTTTCTCTGGGCCTTCCCATCCCAGGTGAAGGGAAGGGCACTACCGGCTCCTCTCCCCAGCACCAGCCGGCGGCACCTCCCACATTTTGCCTGCCTCTGTACCTTCTTGCGGGTGTTGAGTTTCCAATCTCTCCCGCCTTTCCAAGAGCCAGCCCTGCCCCCGCCTGAGGGCAGATCTTTAGGCCATCACCGCCTCTGGGCTGAAGCTGTCAAATAGAGCCAGTGACTGATGACAAGCTGGAGGCCTGTACCTGGTGCCCTCTACCTGTTGGGCCTACAGGAATTCCCTCCCTTGCAGGGGCCAGCGTGCTGGGGCTTGTCCCCAGCCCTAATGAAAGGCAGGCCATCTGTTCACAGCAGGAGGAGAGCCTGCTACAAGTCCTACAGAAGCAGTTTTCCTGCATTTAAGAGAGGACACCAGGAGGAGAGTTCTGGAGCTGGAAATCATCAGGAAAGGGATTTGGTGCAAGTCAAGGAGGAGACGAGCCAGGACCCTAGAAAAGCCAGAACTGCTGTCCCCTTCAAGACTGTGGGCTTGACCTGCTCGTGGTGGCCTCCTATCTTCACGGTTATTTTCCTTTGGATCACTCACTGGTCTCCAAAGGGAAAAACAGGTCCCTAAAATGTGGTGGTTCTGTTTTTTTCATTAGCAGACTGCCTAGTAATCATGTCCTGATACATATCTCTTGCTCCTCCATGCCCTGAGCCCTACAGACCTCATATCTGGGCTGAGAGACTTGCAGGGGTGACCACGCCCACTTTAAGAACAGGAAAATGGAGCCATTAGAGGTTTTGGCCAAAACAAAAGGTTCCTTTAGAGTCTGACAATAGAGAGGAAAGAACCAAGAGGGCCTAAGTATCATTGGACCAGACATGTTCATGTCACAAGTGAAAACCCAAGTGTCACATGATTTGCCCAAGGTCAGGCACGAGTGAGTGACAGAACCAAGACTTGGAACCAGAATCTTCCGATGCCAAATCCACCACTTGGCAGCTGCTGGAAAGGCAAAGGCGAGAGCCCGCAGGCCCCTGCTCTCTTGTCTTTTAGCAGAGGAGCGGGGTGTGATGTTCCTGGATTAGCACTTTCCAAGTTGGGGGCCTCTGAAATTTATCCCTGAGTCCGTTTAGCATTCAACAGAAGCAACAGGGCTAGGGACACAGAGGACAGCGCCTGTCCAGCCTGCAGGAGGCCTGCGCTGCAAGAAAGGAAAATTTTTTAAAAATAAAAGCTTTTGAGTCACCCCATCTTCTTCCTCCCCGTCTCTCTTTCCCCCCTTGTCTCTCGTTCTCCTGCTGCCCCGTCCTTTCCTATCTCAGTAGCACCTAAGGTGAGGAGGTAGCATGAGCGGGAGCACATGCCACCCGTGGCCCTGGTAGCACAGCCCTGGTAGCCCTGATAGCATGCCCTGGTAGCACAGCCACCCGTGGCCTCCCTGGGGTGGGAGTGGGGCCTCCGGTTGTGTGTCCTTCCCTGCCTCGCTGGAACCCCACCCTCTCACCTTCTCTCTGGTTTTTATCTTCAAGCAAGTCGCAGTCCCTGACAAATGCCTTCAGCTTCTCTGAGTCCTCCTTCTTCCGGTCTTCAACCAGTGAGGATGCCCAAGCGGAGACCATCCGGAGCTTGAGGAAGTCCTTTGCCGGCCTCTTTTCAGATTAGCTCTGCAGACACATGGGGGCACCCGACCCAGCCAGGAAAGGCACCCAGACATTCACCAACAACGGTCAGCCACGCTTGGTGGCCGTGTCCCCTGACTTTGACGTGTGTGGCCCCCTTCCTCTGCTCCGTCGTGCTCAGTGATGTTGTGCAGCCCAGAAAGGACCATGTGACAGACTCAGGGCAGGTGCCTACCCAGAG